GTAAACCGTTATCAGTTTACTTCACCACCACCACCGCTAAAAACGATACGACCGAGCAAACTCTCCAAATGATGTATGGTGAGTTCGATGACTTGAGCGACCAGAAGGGTGGCCCTTCCGTAGAAGACAACCAGGCATTAGCAATGGTCGAAACAGGGACACGTTACTAGCGCGACCGGTTCGAGGTGCCGTTACCATTTATTACGGGATACGACCGATTGCCGAACAATCGCGTGATAGCCTTAAAAAGGTTAGATTACCTTGAAAGGTGACTGATCCGCGACACAGATCTTCGCCGACAATACTCCGCGGCAATGTAACGGAACGTTCAACTGGGATACATAGATCGGGCTCTAGCTGGTGAAATGTGGGAGATCGGTGGCGAAGCGGTGCGGGTGTCTGTTTACCTGCACGCAGACTCGCGCGGTGCATTTAGAGATGGTACACAGTATGTCAACTGAATCTTTCCTGATGGAACTCCAAAGGCTGATTAGCAGACGCGGAGCCCCGAAAAACATTTACTCCGAAAACGGTTCAAACTTCGTGGGCGCGTCGAATGAGCTGCAAAGGTGGCTGCCCCGAGTCGACCAGAGTGAACTATACGAGCGACTGACATCCCAAATTATCCAGTGGCACTTCAACGCGCCGTACGCTAGCCATAGAGGCGTGGTTTGGGAACGGATGATAAGATCGGTGAGAAGGATCCTATTGGCTGTGTGCAACCAACAGTCCATCGAAGATGAGACCGTGAACACGGCCGTAACCGACGTGGAGCGCATATTGGATAATAGACCCTTGACACCAGTCGCGAGTGAAACCCCGGGTTGCGCGCTTACGCCGAACGATTTGACACTCTTGAGACCGAATCGCGGACTGACGGTATCACGAACTATGACGAAATATTACTCGAGAAGCTGGAGACAGGCCACCTACCTAGCGGGAGTTTTCTGGAAACGGTGGGTCCGAAAATACTTACCTACCCTACAGGCGCGCCAGAAATGGATACTCAGGGAAAGAAACTTCCGGATTGGTGACACAGTACTGCCTACAGATGAACGACTGCGGCGGGATAAATGGCCCCTGGTGATCATCAAAGAATGCCTCCCGGATGACGATGGACTCGTGCGCACGGTTAAAGTCAAAACGGTAACCGGTGAAACCCTGTGAGATATCCGCCGAATCTGCTACCTGGAGGGGGGGGAAGAAGCAGAATCAACCGTGAACTGAAGCAGCTGAGGAATCCTCCGGACTGGCGAGGGAGGCACTGTGAGCCTCCTGGCCTGGCGGAGACAAACAGGACGACGATAGACTCGATAGAAGGGCACAAAGACTGTAGGGATTAGGTAGTTAGGATGAGAATTGGTACTCCCTTGAATTTCCCTTTGACTGTGTGACATGAGAAAGGAATTTGCCGGGCGGTGTATTGAACGATCTGTGAAAATCCCTCCTGTAATGCCCAGCAAATCTACCTCGGTTCCAAATTTCGTGAATTTCATGTTCCATTTACCCAGCACCACCCGCCTCACACACATGAACATTTGACATTCCACTCCCCTTGTATACTTAAGCATTGACCCTAACATTTGACTTTGTTTGTTTATCTGCTTCATTCGTACCCTACTTGTTTTAATCGCGACCTGAGCGCTCATATTTGGCTAGTTCGTGTGCAGCGTAACGGTAAGCGTGCTGTTCTTACCCAGGCTTATTTTCTTCCGTTCAGATTTGTTGAATTACGGTAATACTTGGCTTTTGTTTTCAAGTTGTTTCGAGATCACTTTGAGGTTTGTACATCTTTTATTTGCTTTTTTATCGTTTAATAATGCAGTACCGTAGAAACTTGCAAGATCGTACGTTTTGTTGACGTTTTTGGATCCAATTTTGGCTACGCGTTACTCGTTGATCTATTCGGGAGATCCACACCGTAAGAGACTAAACGACTACGAGGCTTCAATAAACAAACTAACTGCAATCACTAATTCACTAGGCAGCGTCTTAGGAAAACCAGAAGCGAACATGGACATAACTTTCGGAAGAAACCGCAACGTGGTGATTATGGTTCTAGCTGAACCACATTGTCGGGAAGCGCGAAAGCGCAAACGCGACCTACTCCACCAGGTACTCAATATCTTACAACTTGCTAATATCCCAGGGCATGTTCATATCAAGCGAATTCTGCGCCTGGGAAAATGGAGGGAAACTTCCCACGTTGTCAGCGAAGGTAACCCAAAACCATCGCTGATAGAGTTCCAAAACCCTAGATAACCGGATGCCATGTTAGCAGCAGCAGGCCACGTGCAGCTAAAGGTAAAGTCACCGTAATCCATGATTATGCGAAAAGCTGGAAGAGTGTAGCTATTGGGCCATCACCCTCACCAGGCGGCACCAGGCGACTGATCGTAAGGGTGCAACCTTCCACTCCGAGGGTTTCACCGAGCCCTAATACCCGCACACCCGGGCTCTCCACAAATGAATCGGCATTTTTGTTAAACCATTTCGACACCGAAGCAGCAACGCCGAAAGCGGTGCCTGCTATTACCGTAACCTCAGTCTGCCGGAGTCCACATAGGAAGGACTCTACAGCCGAGACAAAAAAAGCTAGGCGGGCACCCGGCCATAAGCCCTGGGTGCAGTCTTTTCCCGCTAAGGGGACACATGGTGCAGATATTGGATGTTCTCTACACCTATGCCTGCAGCCTAATGAACAAGTGGCCCGACATAGCATCAGAAGCAGGGACGGCCACTTGCATAGCAGTCACTAAAATTTGGCTGAAACCAGATTTCAACACCACAGGATTACACCCACCAGGTTTTTTGGCCTATCGATGTGATCGCACTGACGGTCGTATCGGTGGTGGTTCCCTAAAACTCGTAGCGGAACAACTAACACAAGCAGCTGCAACCAACCTGGGGATAGCAAACATCCAATCCACCGGGTGCTTGCTAAAACCACCCCATAGCGAAGTAGCAATAATTTGCACATATCGTAGTCTTCGGTCCTCCACAGAGGAGAATGACCAATTGATCGCCTAACTAAGGCAAGTAGCGGGTCAAACCAGCTGGGTTCTGCTTCTGGGTGACCTAAATGCTCCTGAGGTCGACTGAATGACGGAAAATGCACCACCCGGCAGTTTCGGAGAGAAATTGCTTGACTTAGTGCTCAACTCAGCCCTGATTCAGCACGTCCAACACCCAACAAGATGGAAACCAGGTAACCCACCCAATATCCTGGACCTAGTATTCATCAACGGTGTAAATGAAACCGTGAACTTAGAACTAGGATCACCGCCAGACAGGAGTGATCACGCAACTATTCGCTTCCGTTATGTCTGTCGTCTACGAGCCCCGAGGCTAGAACCCAGGCGCTGCTACAGAGCATTAGACACTGGGGGTCTTCTCTTGGCCGCATCACAACTCCAATGGCCGGAGGATGTGACAGATGTCCATGAGACTTGGGACCGAATTAAAACGAACCTCATCTTGTTGACCGACGCCTTTGCACCATTGATTCCCCATGGAAGACCCAATAGGCCACGGTGGTGGTCTCGACGGTTAGCTAAATTACTGAGTAGAAAGCGGGCAGCCTGGGAGAGGTTCACCGCCACCAACGGCCACTCGAGATACCTTCAGTACTTGAAAAAGGGCAGGACCTACGATAGGGCCCAGTCAGATTTAAAGAAACGTTATGAGCTCACACTGGCACAGAACAGTAAGACGTGCCCGAAAGCATATTACGGTTATGTGCAGTCGAGGGTAGCCACTAGGGAAGCTATCGGATGCATTCACGACGCCGGTGGCAGCCCAACGCTCACTAGCTTAGAAAGGGCTTCCGCTCTACAACAACATTTCGAAGAATCGTACAGTGTGAACCTGGACAATACCCCGCCGGCTTGCAGTATTTCGACGGAGACAAAAATAAGTCTGCAGGTCCAGATGACATACATCCAGCGATCCTAAAATCGTTGAAGAGTATTTTGGCACGTCCATTAGCCAGCCTGTTTACCAAGTCACTCGAGACAACCACCCTCCCAAGTGACTGAAAATCTATAAGAGGAGATGCCACCTCTAACTATAGGCCAGTGAGCTTGCTTTCAGTAGTACTAAAGGTAATGGACAGGGTGATCCGTGACGAAATGACTAGTCATTTTACAGCGAACAACTTACTGGCGGAAACTCAGCATGGATTCAGACGGGGTAGGTCCTACCTAATAAATCTGTTAGCCTACCTGGATGCAGTGACGGACAGACTTGACAAGGGTGAACGTGTCTAAATGTGCTACCTAGATTTTAGGAAGGCCTTTGACTCAGTAAGTCATGGACTACTCCTGATGAAATTATCACACTTGTGGGTGCACCTTGAACTCCGAAATAGGCGCCGGAGTTATTTAGTAGGTCGCACTTTCCCAGTCCGGGTAAACGGCAAACTTTCTGAGAGATGCCAAGTGCACAGCCGAGTGCCTTAAGGCTCCGTCCTTGGACCGTTGTTGTTCTTGGTTTTTATCAATGACTTGGCACGGTGTATGGCAAACCCACTGTTTCTATTTGCCGATGATGCCAAAATTTTAGCTTCTCCCCACAACGAAGAGTTGCAAAGGGACCTGAAGAGGGTACAAGCATGGACCACAGAATGAAGCCTGCCTCTGAACAGTGGCAAGCGCAAACTCCTGCGCACAGGGGAGGCGGTGGGTAGTCCTCGGTACATGGTGAAATCTGCAGGCGAAGCAATTAAACAAAGCACCGAGGTGGGGGATCTTGGGATTACCGTAAATTTCACGTTCTCATCCTCATGCCAGTGCTCCTTAGCTGCTCGCAGAGCAAATGCAGCACTGTACAGGCTGCGCAGAACGGTATCCCAGAGGTCCTTGTCCCTTTGTACCAAGATTTTGTACGGCCCCACTTAGAATACTGTGTCCAAGCGTGGGCACCAGTATTAGTGCGAAACAAACTGGTCCTGGAGAAGGTGCAGCGCCGTTTTACGCGGATATTCCCTCTCCTAAGGAGAATAACGTACACTGAAAAGCTGCGATCACTGAAGCTGTTCTCCCTAGAGCGTCGTAGGCTTAGAAGTGACCTAATTGAAACCTTCAGAATCCTGAAGGGTTATTCGCAAGGTACGAGACATCTCTTTGAGCTAGACAAGGACCAGAAAACTGAAGAAACAAAGGGTGTACAGAACGATCAGGGCCAGCTTCTTCTTGCGGTGTATCATCAGTAGCTGGAAAAAGCTGACAAATGAGACAGTCAACTGTGGCAGCCTGCACGCCCCGAAGAGGATGCTTGACGCATCTTGGGACACATTGTTTCCCGCATGTCCGTAAAAATGGCATCAAACGGGTCACGCTAGCAGCCATGCATCCAGCACCCTTGCAACTTACCTTTACTCTTCATTTAATTTAATTTCCAAGGTGCCCATTACCCTTCTACATCCCAATTTCTTAGGACAAGTAACCTTCCATTCTCATATTTCCTTTCTTTTATGGGTCACCTGAGCGTGAGGGATGAAAGCCGTCGCATTTACCCTGAAACTATTCCTGATATCCTTGGGTAACCCATGGACCCGCTAGCATTGTAATCCTTTTGCAGGTCTAACCTTGGAAACATTTGAAAAGCAAAGACTGTCGAAGCACCGTGTTGCCCACCTCGAGCTCACCTGATGCAAGAAACTGGACTCCATCTGGCTCTGCCGCAAGTCTTGTGTACTGTCCTGGCGCAGGCTCTCAGTGTTTACTACACTAACGCCTGCAGCCTAATGAACAAGTGGGCCGAGCTCCGGGCCGAGGCTCACCAAACGCACTGCCTCGCCATAACGAAGACTTGGCTCAAGTCTGATTTTTGTATCGCGGGCTTCTGTCCTCCAGGATTCCAGGCTTATCGCTACGATCGTCCAGGGGATAGGCTGGGGGGTGGTGCTCTACTGCTCGTGGCAGACCTCTTTCCTCAGACGGCCGTGCATACCCTGTGCACGGAGAACATTCAGGCTGCCGGGTGTGTAATCAAGCTCTCAGGAGTAAGATTAGCAGTTCTGAGTGTTAATCGTAGCCCAAGCGCAGGCATCGACGAAAATGAGTTGCCGATAGATTT